AAGAAGTATAGGTAATGAAACCATATGTCTACCTCGAATTAAATTGTAACCTTTTTTTTTAATGGTTCCCAGTCTATTATCCTGTCCTGAAATTTCCTTCTTGTCCCCCAACCAAGTGCTAATGAAGTTCCCCAATGCCTCTTCCGAGATCACCTCTGAATTCCCACTTGCTACGGTGGAGATTTATCTGCTTCTTCTCATTCCAGTTACACAAATTCAAACTTCTGTGACTCAATCGGAGAAGCTTGGAGAGCTGCTCAAGGAAGAGAAGGTTCTTGCTTGGCTTCAGATTCACTTCCTCTCACTGTGTCTCTCGCACAGTAATAGACTCCCGTGTCTTCTGCTTTCAGATTGTCCATTTGCAGAAACAGCTGGCTGCGGGAATCATCCCTGGAGATGGTGGACCCTCCCGCGACTTTATCTGAGTAGCAAATTGGAGATGAGGCTGTACTTCCTCTCACTGTGTCTCTCGCACAGTAATAGACTCCCGTGTCTTCTGCTTTCAGATTGTCCATTTGCAGAAACAGCTGGCTGCGGGAATCATCCCTGGAGATGGTGAACCCTCCCGTGACTTTATCTGAGTAGTAAATTGGAGATGAGGCTGTACTTCCTCTCACTGTGTCTCTTGTACAGTAATAGATTGCTGTGTCTTCTGGCTTCAGGCTGTTCATTTGCAGAAACAGCTGGCTATGGGAATCATCCCTGGAGATGATAAAGTGTCCCTTGGCTTTGTCTGAGTAGTAAGTGGTAGAGCCTCCATACATGTCTGCCACCCATTCCAGTCCTTTCCCCGGATACTACCTCACCCAGTTCATCTGAGAGCTGCTGAAGGTGAATCCAGAGCCTTGGCAGAAGAGATGGCGGGAGCCTCCAGGACTTCTCACATTACCTCCAGACTCCACCAACTAGACCTCATATTGGACACCTAGAAAGAAATGTGTTTCAATGAGCTCTTCAGTGTCAGGTTCGGTCAGCATGGGGCTTCGGGGAAGCTCGCAGCCAGACCACACGAACTCCACCGGCGGCAGCTAGCGAGGAAAAGAGGAACTGAAGGTGCCGCTAATTAACGGGCCACCTGCGCCCAGCCAAACAGGAAAACCGCAGCGGAAGCTTTAACTATACACTGATAACG